CTTGGGAGGGAAGGGAGGAAGGGAGGAAAGCTGATTTTTCACAGTGAGAAATAATAATGACGATTAATAATAATAATAATAAAAACTGGAAAATGTAAGCAAGGTGGACGCATTGCTTCTCGGTACTCAGAAAGGTTGTCTGAATTCGTGCGGTAAGCGCTGGCCTGAAGATAGGTAGAATTTAAAGCCATATTTTGTCTTGGTGAGCCCCTTAACTGTTTGTGAAGGAACGGTGGGCCCGTCGAGGTGTCCGGCTCAGACCCTGACAACAAACGCCACCCCTCTGTCAGCCATGAGTAGCGGTTAGAACTTTTCTTGAAAGTCCAAAGAGCCTTTAAGATAGGTTTTCATTTGTGTTTTGTGGCCTCTATTTATATGGATTAGATGAAAAGATGCTCTGGCCCTCCGACCCCCTTTCTCCTACGCAAAACTTTTACACGTAAAAGATGTTCCCCTAAATACAGAATATGGCTTTAAGAAGAAGATGAAACAGAGGATTAAATTAAGATTTTGGTTGTGGGGGGGGGGGGATACAGCTTCTGGATGACTGGATTGCATAACATGCCCCGGCCTCACATTGTACTAGAACGCAGCTTAAAGAAGTCATCTCTAAATCTACTAACCTTTCACCTTCTAGTCAAACTTTTTAAATAGACACACACTGTACAGTTCAATTGTTAGAGAAACCTAACTACTGTAGAGATTGTTATAATTTTTTTTTTTTTTTGCAAAAAATTCAAGCTGTAAAAACTTTTCAACTTTCACAATATTTAATTAAAGTTACTTCCTGTCTGTGATGGCAGCTCCTAGTTGTGTATTCATTTCAATATTTCAGACGAGCCAGAGTCCAACGTCACGTGAAAAGGGCCTGTGTTTGCAATCACGCAGACCAGCGTTAACACCCAGAGAAGAGACATTAGGGTGGCCCTGGGACACCCACTTTCTTTGTAAATCCGTGGGGATTTGCTCATCTGGGATGCAAATCGCATACACGCGGCGTAATGCTGCCCTCTGCTGGCCGCAGCTGGCCGCGCACGTGCCCACAGGGCCCGCAGAGGAGCCCAGAGCCCGGCCATCTCACCCGCCCAGCAGCGCGAACCCCCGCTGTGCCCGAGCTGTGAATCCAAGACCTAGCCCTGCTAGAACACCGTCCTCCCTGCTACAAGTCTGAACCTCGCTCTTCACACACAGCTGCTAATTAATCCCTGAGAGCCTTTCGGACGATTAATTACGTGCCCTGGCTCGTAGATGAGGGGGCACGTGTGAACTCAGAACCTGCAGGAGCCACAGTTTTAAATCCCGTGTGGAGGAGACACTCTCCCTGTCGGATAAAACCAAATTTACATGGAGTCGAACATGTCACAAACACCCGGTAGGTACATAATCCTGTAAAACCGTTGCACTTTAAGTTTCGGCGTGATCATAAGTCTCCCCCATTGCACACAATCCGTGCTTTTCCTACTTTGCAATTGTTGGACATGATAAGGTTAATGACGCTTGTAAAATGTCTCAAGAACTCAGCAAATAGGCCGTAGACCAACAGAAACGGGATGGTCAGAGCTAATAGGGTGTCACACAGCCACCACCGTGATCATTTGTGCTGGGCATTGCTGATACACACTCGCTCTGGAATGGAGCCCAATTTGAGATAATGTCACAGTGTAACGAATTAACTTAATAAGCAGAGAAGCTAACACCCTTTTCTTAAAAAGGGAATCTACGTTGATTAGTTTGGTCATTCCATATACATATTTGGAATTCTCTATTAGACACATATCCCTGTATCAGATGCAGAAGATTAAAAAAATGAACAAGAGGCGTCTGCCCTCAAGAGACTCATCATCTCAAACAAGACAAATCTATACTTGAATAAAAGTCTGGAATGGTTAGAGTGGGACAAGCACACCACAGTGCTCCACAGAATAAAATAGACACACACACCTCCGCACACTGGCTCCGGCTTTCCTTAAGGCCTGTTTATTGGAAGCATTCATTCATTCATTCCCCTTGAAGGTTTACTATGCGTCTGGCACCAGGCACGGTGACCTCCACAGTGAGCACAGAGACCCTGGTCCTGTCCACACGGAGCTTACAGTTGAGTGGGGCAAGCAGTCATTGTGTAACGACGCACATCTATTCTAACCAACCAACAACGGTAATGAAGAAAAAGTCTAGCGTGCTCGGAAAGCATATTGCAGCGGGATCTGATTTAGCCCGAAGGGCTGGGGGAGGTTTCCAGAGAGAGTGATATTTGAGCTGAGATGTGAAGGATGAGGTCACTGGGTGGGGTGGGCACCTCAGGCGAGGGAATGAGGGCAGCTGCAGGCATCTGAGCTTTGGGCATGGATTTGTTGCACTCAAGAACAGAAAGTCTGCACGGATGGAGTACGCACATATGCGAGATGGCACCGTGGAGCTTGGGAAGTTCAAGTCAGAACACACACTGAGCACCTACTATGTGCTTGGCACTGTACTAGATGCTGGGATGCACTAGGCAGAAAAGTCCTAACTCCTGCCTGTTGGGCCTAAGGCACAGTTTGTAAACTCACAGTCCCCTGTTTGTCTTCGGGGGCCGTGCTGGTTAAACAGGAGGGTTACACACAGAGCACCTACCTCATGTACTCCAGGCAGTGGCTCCCACGCAGGAATGTGGGCTCAGTGATGCCCATCTTCTGTTTTTCAAGATTGCTAGGCATATTGTTGGGTGTTTTCTTTGGTGTGAAATTTTCATTTTTTAAATGTTTCCATCTAATCCAAAAATAGGGCTTTCATAACACTGCATTGAGCAAAGTCCACGAGCTCTAGAATGTCACTTTGGGACTTGGGGCCAAAACACAAGTTACTCAAGGAGATGTTTACACAGCCTGATTTGAAGGTCATAGCGACATGTCCTATCCATGGAGATCAAGGAATGCTGCAAAGAAGGGCATGCCTGAGGGGTGTGGACGGGAGCTCACCAAGCCGTGAGGGAAAGCAGGGCATGGAAGCTGATGGCCAATGCCTTTGGAGCTGGCTGCATGAGAAAACATTACTAAGATTAGTGGGAAGGAACAGGAATCCTATGGGAAAATGGAATTGGCGATTGTGAAAAAATTCCCTCTACTTGTGGGCAGTAGCCACGTCCGATGCAAAATGTGTAAGTGGATTTTGTTTCTTTTAATCTCCTTTTGCCTGGCAGAAAGGCCCTCATGAGTGAGTTCATCTTTAAGCAGCCAGCCAGAGACGTGCGCGCTTTCCAACACCCCCTCAGGGCCGTCCCTGCCCTTCAACCCACTCCCATTCTCAAGAACACTGCTTCTGGAATTATCCTCTCCCCAGCGCCGTCAATTTCTCCTTCCTCAATATGACTTCTGATCAGCACACACAGATATACCATCCTGGAGAAAACTCTCTGGCCTCACTTTGCTTCCAACCTGCCCACCGTCGTCCTGCCCCCCTCTGAAGAGCTGCGTGTGTGTCTTCTCTCGTCTTCCTTTCTGTTCCCCCGCTATCCACGTTACAACAGACGACTGTAACGATGAGTAGTGAGGAGACTTAAACGTAATGTACATATTATTTTTTCAAATTTTTAAAAAATTTATCTTTATTGTTGAAAGC